GTTGGTACTAATGTTTGTTTCTTAAAGTGATAAGAAAAAAATTGACAGTTTGTTGCTGCAGTTGACGTCGCCATGTACTTAACCTCTGATATACAGTCAAACAATCGGCACCTTTTGATTTTACTAATTAATTGCGACTTGTACCCCTCCTTAGAGAGAGTAATGAAGATAGTTACTACGATGATTACACCCTGTAACCCCGAGTCACGTAAATCATTGCGTTTCTCAGGGTTGTACCAAAAACCGCGCTTTTTGTCAAATAATCTTGAGGGGGAGGGAAAAAAAAGTTGATATTCCAAGAAATCCAAAAAAAAGAATGATGAAATATAATAGAGTTCGATACGGGCGAGCGTATTTTTCATACTCCACTTACTGCGCGACGGCACGCTCGTCCATAAAGCATCTCGGTGCAAACAATTACGGCGTATAATTGCGCTCCCATTCCAATCGCCGTACGGCTCGCGTACACCTTGTGTACATTTTTTTTTTTTTTTCTTTTTTTTATGATTCACGATGAAGCAGCGAGCGCTGCTGATAAGGAATTCTCGGCGCCGCTGGCTCTTATCGGCCGCGTGTGTTTCCCGGCCGTTTTGGAGGATGATTTACTACCCGAGATTCAAAGGAATCAGGGCAATGTCAAACCCTCATTGTTACACATTTGGACTCGTAAATACGACGATGAACATTAATTCCTCTGGGGTAAGTGTTTCGGTAAAAAAAAAAAAAAAAAAAAAAAAAAAAAAAAAAAAAATCGCTCAGTTCATAAATTGCAAATTCGACTCGCACGAAGGACGCGAGTTCATTGTTTCGCAATTCTTACTTGAAAGCGACACGTGCCTTTTCGATAATGCAAAGTTTTTTTCTTTTCTTTTTATTTTCCAAGTCAAACAAACGCAGTCTTCGACAAACTTTTTTTTTCCCTGTCGCGCATAAATCCAAGAATCCAACGATTACCTGCGAGATTTTTCCTCTTCACTCGCATCGTGAAAACAAGCTCGTTGGCCGTACCGAAAGTTTCTTTTTTTCACAAAAATACCGCTCAAGCATCACTGAATTTCTCAAGCTCAATTGACCATTCGGTCTCCACAATAACAAGCGAATAAACTAACAAGAAACAAATCCGGGCGTACGCGTAAAAAAGTGCCAAATCCGCGTGCATTATTTGCACGTGCTCCGTCGTCATCGTTCGCGTGTTCAATATTCATGCGCAATGGATATATAAATGTGTGTGTGTGTGTGTGTGTGTGTGCCTACACCCACCACACTGGCACACGTACGAACTGAGCATGAACGAACTGAATTATAAATTTAATCGAGTCGTCGACTACTGCTATGACGTCGACGGGCGACATCGTTCGCGTTGGGTCTAACGAAGCATCAGGGGTGGTCAGTGGGTCGGAGGTGGTGGTACAGGTCCGAGTCCCGGGCAAATATTTGCCGGGAGCAAACGCTCGCGTGTGCGAGCTTTGCGGATGTACTGTGACTTTATACCCTTTACGGATGGCATAAACTATCAAAGGTCGGGTGGATCGTTCAATTTATGGTACAAAGTTGGCAAAGGGACATTGGGTAACTTTGAATATTCAAATGATCTATGGATATCCCTTCGATTTTCCTCTATAAATGATGAAAACTACTCATCGGTATAGAGTACGAGGAAATGTTTTCTAGAAAAACAAGAATACGTATACATTTGCTTGTAAGTGAAATGTAGTAAAAAAAATACAGACCAACCATGGTTTTCTAGAATTGAAAAAGTCAATTTTTGAATAATTTTTTTTCTTTATTTGATGGTATTTAATATTTCATGTCTTACAGTTTTTCATAAGCTTAAAGAATGTCCAAGTATAAGAAAATGTTAGCTTGATAATTTTCTTTGGATTCAGTAAATAATTACTTGCTTTAAGTATACATAAAATTCAAGAAAACGGGTAGTATTCCTGAATCTGGCAAGATTTTCTTTCAAAGCACGATTCACAGGCGAAAAAAAATTCCCTCGTCCTTTCGACGATTCGGTGTAACCCCTAGATAAAAAAAAAAAAAATAATAAAAAAATTACACGTCTGCACCTCGTGCGCATAACAATAATACACACCCGTACTTTTTTTGCATCCAACACGCTATAAGATTATACGTGCAACAGTCGGTTCGCAAAGCTCGAAGGTCGCGCTACTAGAAACGTGCTGCGCGGGGCTTTTTATAGATTCCTCGCTACCGCTAGCACCAAACGCGCTCAGCTTCATGCTTACACGGATATTAAAACAGCTCCGCTCGAGTGAGTACTGCTTTTGTTTATCCGATGTTTTAAAGCCTCGACAAGACGATCAACACGTCATATCGTTTAATCATTTTTTTTTTTACCTCCTATAATCTTTTTCGTGTAGGTACAGCGTCGACAAACGCGACAATATTCTCAAGCTCGTAAGGCCAAGAGCTTTAGAAAAGCTCCGACGAACTCGTCCCTGTACTTGCACAGTTTTGTCATACCCAAGATTTTGTCCATCCCCCGCTCCCAAAGCTCTCCGCATACCTAGCTCGTTCCAAGCGACAATGGGTCACAAGCCGTCCGCATACCTGTGCAGGTGAAACGCCGCGCGTATATGGCAGATAATATATTATACCAACGTAATACGAGTGGGCGAGCGCAAGCGCACTGCCGCAGTATACAAACCCTCCTCCGTCGCTGCTCTTCGAACTTGACCGGAAAACCTCGGTGCACCGCTGCATCGAGGGTAATCGATCTCTCCTCCCCTGGTTTTAAAACACACACACGGGAGCGCCTGGAGCTTTTCTTGTTCGAACAACACTGATGGAGATGCGTCGCCAGTTGCGGCGAACAAGCTCGGCTCGGAGCTTTCGAACTTTCGGGCTCTCCTCTGATGTATAGGGGCGCGGGCTATAAATCGTCCATTGTCGAGGTAAAGCAGCACCACCTACACCACCCGGGTTTATTTACGGCGCTATTATTCGCTCGCCGACTCGACTGTCTTACGTAACACTGCAGCGTGTGTCCGCCAAGAGTCTTTTTTTTTTTTTTTTTTTTTTTTAATCAAAGGGTTCAGAAGCAGCGATCGAGCACTTGCTTGTTTGTTTGATTGTCGATAGGATTTACGGATCATGTTTTGGTGGCGATTGAACAAGTATTGGGTAAAGCGTTGTTGGCCAGACGAGTGTGTCTCGTGACTCAGTCCAGATATAGATAAGATAACAATTTTTCGTTCGCCATCCTACACGTATGCGCGTCCGGTGCGAGTTTCAACAACCATTGAGTACTTAGTAGGTGAACCTGCATCGAGTTTAACGCCCCCCCCCCCCCAACGTACAGGTTTTGGAGTATGCTCGACTGTTTCAACACTATGTATAAGTATATGGGTAAAGGTATTACACAACTTTTCCGGCCAATCCCGTAGGACTCGTTTGTGTTTGTGTGTGTATTTTTTTTATTTTTATACCCACAGTATAGAGTATATACAACGTGATGGGTATGTAGGTGAAGTTAGATGTCACAAAGATATAATTATACCAAGCGCAGGTGTTTATCTGTCACTGTACGTATACGACTAGAATCGAGTACAGTTATTTTTTCGCCTCCGCAACTTACTTTGTGTGTACTTTTTTTTTTTTTTTTTTACATCACAATTTCGTGTATTTGGGTAAAAACTCCTTTCCTGCCCGTCTAAAAATAAATTATCCAACATTGTAAGCTCTATTGAAAAACCCAAGTTATACCTCTCCTGCGCGCAATGTAAATGCGTGTGTGTTATCGCCAAAGTAGCTCTTGGCCTTCTCATTGTCTCGATTATAATATACTCACAAGTTTCAACGCGCCCGTGTAATCGCTGCAATACAATTAATTTCGTGAATTCACCGGATAACACACGATGGCCGGTATTTTCCCCGGTAATAAATTGTACACTTTATCAAATACTTTATTTTTAATTTGTTACCTTTGTTCATTTAAATAAACGATCAAGTATATACGCTCAATATTTTGCTCGTAGTAAACATTATGTATACATATGCGTGTGGTTGTTGCACATGCGTAAATGCACCCGGTAAACGAAAATTGACGCAACGTGGGAAGCACGAGCACGTGAAAATTCGCTCGTCGAAATGACCTTTAAAGCGTCTCGTTGCCATTGAGATTCATTGAACAAATTGTTTAGTTTGTAAATGTGCAAGCTCAAACGTCAGACTCTGCGTTGTAGTCATTTCCATCTTCCCTGTATATGAAACATCAGTAGAAACAGATTGTTTGGTCAGACGCGGGTTCCAGTAGTATTTCCTGCTGTTACGCCAATCATTCGAACGCTGTCAAATGTTGCTTTTTTTTTCTTGAGATGAATAATCACCAACTCATGGGAATCAATGAAAATCCGGGCATCTCAGTTTACCAGGGAGAAGATGGAAAAATAACGTGTACGAAAGCTCGTTTGACGAATTGCGACGGGTTTCGTGATGCATCCGAAACTCATCTCTGACCAAACAACGGGAAGCCCCGTTGAAAAAAGACAATCTAGTGCACCGCCTTCGGGCCATAAGTATATATAAACAGGAGCGCGAGTCTCACTCGAATCGTGGGGTCTTATCGGGAGGGCATTTCGTATTCCCTGCCGCAGCTCTCGCCGCGAGTGTCGTGTATTGCCGTACACCCACCCACACAACCGCTATACTTACACACAGGTTGGCTTACGGTATAATAATAACAATACACGAGCCGCGAGAGAGAGAAAAGCAGCTCCCCGTCCTTGCCCGCTGCCGCCCACTCTCTCTTCCCCTCCACTCGCTGCCCCACCCGTGTGGCTTCACCCCCACCGTAGCTCTCTGCTTCTCCTCCATGCGTGCGTACGTGTATGTACGGTAGCTTTGCTCCAAGTTTCCCCTTCGTTACGTACGCCAGTGCGAGAAAAATACGAAGGGGGGGGGGGGTCACCAAAGAGGGAGAGTGGCCTCTGCGCGAAGCTCCGAGTGTTCAGGCACATGACACTCCGCTACGCCGATTGCTTCAGTCTCGCAGCGGCACTCGCGAGTGACGGATCGCGCGAATTTCGTGGCTTCTGAACTCGTGACTAACATCACCAAAAAAAACAAGACCCACCCCCCTTGGTCCCACTCGCAATTGAAATCGGCAACTCGTTGCTTTTTGTTTTTCAACCCCCGCAAACAGTTTTTTTTCATTCACTGCAACTGTTTCATCCGTACAGCGACGCGTGTGTACGTGCGTATATACATATATATGCCTATCGAACCCATGTGTGCATCAGACACACGCGCGCGCTCGATCACGGCTAGTTCAAAGTGATATTTATCGAAGAGGATACCCGGGGTGTGCTTTTCGGAGGAAAGAAATCTGGAATTCCGGATACTGTGTGTGTGAGAAGGGTAAAAGAAAAGCCCAAGAAATCAAGGGGATACAAGGACAATTCCTTAGGAGCTCCTTGCGGCCGTCTGTCGAAACAATCGTCCGGACACCTGTATTGAGCAACACCACCTTCCTTCGCTCTTCCTTCTTCTTCCTCTCTCTCTCTCTCTCTCTCTCTCGTTGCTTGAAATTACTGCAAGTACTTCCTTGTGTGCTGTGCGAATCGCCCAAGAAAAAAGAAAGGAACAAGCCAAGAACATCAGCTGAGAAGCCCAAGGAGCGAGCATACAAAGTAACAAACCTCACGTATTTTTTTTACACAGAGAATTAGCGAGCGAGAATTGAAAAAAAAAAAAAAATTATTCAGTACCTCCCCGCTATCGTTGAGTATATTATTATTAGAAATAGTTTCTCCGACGCATGCTTGTACAATTGCAAACTCGATTTTTTTTTCTTTTTTTTTTTTTTTTTTCTCAATCGTTCGTGTCTTCTCTCGGCGCATAATTTTTCCGACAGCAAGTCACGCCGCTAGCTCATTTTTTTTTTTCCTCTCGCACGTATGCGCGCATATACATGTATACTCGAGTAGTTCCAAAGTGACTTTGCACACACGATCGCGATCGGCATGTACATATATGTCGTGCTCTCCGTATCTCGATTGAAGAAGAAAAAAAAAAAAAAAAAACCCACAGAGAGAAAAGGGACAGCCAAGGGAGAGGGAAAAAGACCGTCAGTAGAAACAGTCGAATGAACGCGGACGGGCTAATAATATTTTGTACAGGAAAATAGCCGATGAGCGAGCGTCCTTGCGCCGTCATTGCAAAGACCAGCACAGCTGCACACACTACCGTGCGCCGGATCGAGCTAGAAAAGAGAGCCTCGCATATACTACCCACTTACTCGGCTATAGCCGATGCAGCAACAGCACACGCCAGCAAAGCCCATCATCATCGGTGGCTATACAGTGAGAACCACTGTCCGGTCGTACTTATAACTTACATAGTTGTGGCAGTAGTGCTGGTGCTGGGGTATACGTATAACCATCGCGTCTAGCCAAATACGACAATTGCCAGCTGCAGTACAGCCATACCTATACGGTGTACACACAACACGTACATTATGTACCGCCGGCCCTTTTCGCTCCGTTGCGGCCCGTAATAACGCGGAGGTGCCGCACCGAGAGTTGACACGTGAGCACTGCTCGTATAACACACATTATGTATACCTATAGCGCGTGGTAGTAGAATAGGTACGCGAGTATCCAGACGTTTACATCTACATAAGCGCTCGCTCGCTCTTTGCTCCCTTTTTCTTTCCCGCGACCTTTTTAGAGCTAAGAAAGAGGGGGAAAGGGTGTCGTTCGCACCCGTGGAAGCTTAAATATAGAGTTCGAGGCGAGTGTTCCAAAATTGTCGTTTCCTGGATCGAAAATAGCGCCGTTTTCTTGCGGTCGACGGAATCTACGTGTAGGAGGACACCGGAGTAACACTGCGACGACTTTTGCCATACGCGCTCTCCGCTAATGGGTACACACACTGGTACACTCGTTGCCGCGTGCGCGTGGGTGGATCCGCTCCGTTGTTACAATCTCGTGTCGTAATTGCCTTACGTGCAAGGATACAACGCGCACGTGGGTCTGGTCGATATTTTTTTTTTTTTTTTTTTTTTTTACTGGGAGATTTGTCGGTTTTGCTCTTCCAACACGTGATGGGAGCAGTGTTTTGTACCCGCATTGGGTTCATTTGACGGAGTCGTTGAATAACGAGGCTCAGCGTCGCGGAAAAGTATCGTGAAAATCGGCAGAGCCAACGAATTGACGAGTTTGTGCAAAGTGTCGGTGCCTACGTAAGTTGTACAATACGTTGTAGCTTTTCATTTTCATCAGTTGGTAGGCACCGTGTTTCATAATAAAAGTGTGAGAAAAAAAATTTGAGGTAAGAGTGAGAACAACATTTTAAATGTCAAATGAGCCTACTCTTTCGTAGTCGCGTCGAGCTTGTGTGTGGATTCTAGTGTGAGTTTTTTTTTTTATTTCGCGCCTCTGGTTGAGTTCTGGTGTACGCTGACTTGAACGAGTTTGAAAATGTTTTCGTTTTTTTTTTTTCCCTTTACTTGTTTGATACGGTATCAATACGAGTATTTAAACCGACATTAACCGTAAACGAATCAAGTGTCTTTAAACGACATTATTGTTTCTGACACAGTTTTTAATTAATCATTCGGATAAAAGTGTTATTGAATAAAAAAAAAGGCTGTGTTGCTATCAACTAATACGTTTGATGTTGAAAACTGCTTATGCCCCTCGAATAGCTATTTAATGAGGATAGCTCGACAAACGAAAACAGTAGACGCTTCCATATCTATGAAGAAAAATCTGGATAAAATTTTTCAACGGAAGAACAAAGTCATATTAATTAATTAAACGGCACACGTAATCGTGCACAAATTTTTTCGAAAACTACATTAGCCACACTCTTATCTTCACTTGATATTGTTTTCGGGTAAAACCCAAGTTTTTCTCCTCACCTTGAAAATTATGTACAGTGCATCTCTCTTCCTAAGTTATCCCGACGAGTTATTTCGATAAAAAAATCATTCTCCGTCCCTCCCAAATCTCAACGCGACAGTAAACAAAAGTAATTTCTGGCTAATACAGCCTCTTTCGAGAGCCGCGCGATTCCACAGTCACATACATATCTAGCTCTAGTTTATCCGGATCAGATCGGAGAAGCACGAAACTGCTGAAGCTCAAAAAAGCACGGCAATGATGGAATAGCTGCAGCGACACAGTTATTGGCAAGGCCGCTGTATCGGCGTCATCATCGCGCCATGGAAAAGTCCGCAAAGACGGACGCACCGAGAACTATAAGTATATTGTACGCGCTTTGCCTTATGCACATTATACGCACACTTGCTGTTTTTCCTACATCGGCTGCGGCTACGTGGCAGAGGGAAAAGAAAAAATAGATGCGTATCGCATCAGCTGGCACGTTCCATATTCATGATGCGATTCTCCGCGTGCGACGGTCGTCCGATCGATGTTTCACGCGTCTGTACATTATATGTCCCTGTCAGACGTGTATCGGATGGGCTCGCTAATTTTATCAGCTTTGGGTTCGCCCAGTGGGTATAAACATTTTTCCCTCCCAATGGTACATTTTGTATCGATGCTGAGAAAGTACAGTTTATTACGAGAATACACTTTCGTGAGATAATTTATGGCCCCGTACCATTAATGGGACACCGTGACTTTACGCGGAAAATAATCATATCACGCAAGCCCCGAAACAATCGTGGTTTAAAAAAACAAAAAAATCTCCGTCCGTCCAACACACACTTGGACAGGACATCCAAAATATTATATTCGCTTAACAAATTGCAACCACCGCCTGCAATTTACAGCGACAAATGGCCCCACAAAACCGTTCCAATTACACCCGAGCTTTTCCATACTTTTGTTGAAACAAAAAAAAAGCTCGGGCGAGCTTTTTCCTTTCCTCGTCCTTTCTCTAATGAAAAACAAAAGGGCGCATCGACCCGCTCCAACTGATTCAGCCCCGTGCATGCGTTTGCTTTTTTTTTCGGGGGAGAAAAAAAAGCCCGAGTTTTCGCCAAATTTACCGGGACAACGAGCGATTCAATTTGGAACAGTGGCACTCGATCACTCGGGGGACGGGCTGAATGTAAACCCGCGTTGTTATCATCTCTGAATAATTGAGCGGAGATTAAAACGATCCATCAGACGAGCGTGAGCGACGTTACACCCGTGATTACACCGCCGCGAAGAAATATACATGCACACGGGTATAGTATTGGAAATCCATCTTTGTCATCGTCATTATTTATAAATGCGCGTGATGATATGAAACCACAAAATTACAGGTGACATCGATACGTCGGCCGATCGGATAAGACTTTATTTTCTCCGTCGCTTTGGAATTCGCTTACTGTGTACCTACACTACGCTATTACCATTAACAGCCCCACAATCGCGAGAGTCCATCTGTACGTTTTAAATGAAAAAATAATAAACCCAACCGTCCCGTCGTATCTCTGGTTGTTGTTGCGATGTACTCACTTGTGGTAATGTTTACCTATGTCCGTTGATGGGGATGTGATTGCTCGAAGCAGGGCTCGATCTGTATTCTCGATAGTTTCAAGAACTCGGTAAAAAACGAGTGTGTAAGAGAATAACAATAAAAAAAAAAAAAAGTACAATAAGCAAAACAAGGTGGAGTCAGCACGCGATTGAAAGCTGCTCGTAAGGTCAACGCGAGGGTATCGTGACTTGGGGTCGAGCTCCGAGCGATACGTACATGTGTGCACATTAAAATACGTGCGCACGATATACACGTTCAATAATGTGTATCATACATATACACATGTACGTACACTAATGGTACGTGTATATTATAATGTAGAGACGACGATCTGTCAGATACATAGGTACTGCGGTGGAAAGGATACCCTCAATGACTTTTCGAGCCAGTGTGCATGTCCCCGTCGATACAATCTCGCCCACCTAGCGTCACTCTGGTGAAAGAATTTTCATCCAGTTGTGCAGGGGAGGAAAAATATAATACATCATTCAACGGTGGGAAAAAAAAAAAAAAAAAAAAAAAAAAGGCCAACGATAAAAACGTCAGGGGTTATAGAGGGCGTCGGACGCGGGGAGAGCTGTCAGCGGTAGGTGTAGTGCTCGCACGCATTTTCCCAGCGCAGCGGCAGACCGATCGGCGAAACCCCGGAGTAGCTAACGCAGTGGGGGGAGGACGGGAGCAATCACAGCCCCGTCGATTCTCAAAAGCTCGTCGATGGTGACGTGTTTCCTCCTCCCCCCGCCACCGCCCATCTACACTCTTCGTCCAACGTGTTGTACCGCAATGCGCACTTTTTCGCAGCTTCGAGCTGATCGATGACTATACCCCCGCGTCCGATTGTGCGACTCTATTTTTTTATTCCCCCCCTACGCGACGCACTTTTTTGCTGCATCAGAACCGGAAGCGCGTGCGCGTTTTTTTTATGGATGCGCGAGCGGTTATATATAGTTCTTTTGGAGAAGGAACCAACCCTTTCCTTTAGTTTCCGGGGGTGACGGTGAAAAGGGCGTTGAAAGGACTACGCGCTTCTGTAGGAGCCGCAATCCAAGAAAAAAAGTATCCATCAGCCTCGACTTGCCGAACGAAAATAAAGCGAGCCGAGGGGGGTACGTGAGGTAATAATGCACCTGCGTTGACAGCGGGAAGGATAATTTTATCGAAGAGCCATCGAGGATAGGGGGGTGGGGCTCGA